CTTGCTGTGGCCTGAAAACACTTCTCGACTTAAGGCCGCACCAAGTAAATTTTATGGATGACGTCCGCGCGCGCATTGATTTTGGCATGTTCCTAGAAAAAAAAACAAGAAATTCCGCTTCCTGTAACTATGACCCAAGAGTCACGACAGTGCCGCAAATCGTCAGATTGACATGAAACCCGTAACGCGAAAACAGGACAGGGCGACAACTGCTGTTCCACCTGATTTATTGCTGTTTTGATGATGAATAAAAGACTTCTTGCTTGTTACACTGTGTCACCTCATTCAATTTGTGTCCTAACATTTGTCGTCTCTTAGTATATTTCTAATCTAGGCATCTTGTTTTTTAGGGCCCTTCTTGTTTTTTTCGCCCTCTCGCATTAGATATAGGGTCTCCAAAGGACGTCATCCATAAAATTCACTTGGTTTGGCCTGATCCGACAAAAAGGCGTTTAGAGTCATTGAAATCTTCTTGACTTAACACATGTATCTGTGTAAAGTGGTACTTGATGGTAAGGACATAGACGGTAAGCGTGTAACTTGACTTCTCGATGATTTGCAATCTCACGTACTAGTGTACTTGTCAATTGCCAATTGAATATTAGGCCATGCGGGTTTGATTATATGGATGATCATGACAACCGCGTGCGCATGGATTTTCGTCCGTTTAAAAAAAAAAGGTTTTCGACCATACTGCAAAATGAGCGAATATGTGTCGTATGTTGCAACAAATAGTATTGAAAAACGATACTAATGTCATAGAATGCCGAAATCAATTCGGGAAAAGAAGAAAATGTGAAGAAATGAAAATGAAGAGTCTGTTATTTTTCGCCATACCATACTCTGTGCGTTTAGTCATTTGTTCAACATTTATGACCAAGTAGATATCATAATGAAGGAAACTTTTTTTATTAGCACGCTCGCGTCAGTTTTGGGGTTCCCAGATGATGTTTTCCACCATACTGTAGAATCGTACAAAGCAGCTGCAAAATAACCAAATATGCCTTTAATTTCCAAAAACATACTGGAAAACGGTTCTACTGACGAAAAATGCCAAAATCAACAGCAAAAAAGAATATGTGAAAAAAATCTATTATTCGCCATATCTGCGTGTTTAGTCATTTGTTCAACCTTCATCTGTATCTGTATCGGTATAGCTGGTATAACCGCCCTTCGGCGTAACACACCAGCTTCGCAGGCACGCGTTGTGTCTTCTTCGGTGAAAACGCTGTTGAATTGTGAGCTGAGTGCTTCTGCTATATTTTCCCCACTGTCACTGATAATGGTATTTCCCACCTTTAGGGGTGCTACCCCGACAAGGTCTTTCCTCAGTCCTTTTATGTACGACCAGAATGTTTTGGGTTTGTCAACTATGTCTGCCACATATTTCGAGTGTGCTTGTTTTATGCTTTTCTGAACTCCCTTTCTAACTCTCTTATATTTGTTCCAGTCTTCCTCTTGTCCTGTTTTCTTAGCTTTGTTATAAAGGCGCTGTTTCTTACGACAATGTCGCCTTAGATTTCTGTTAAACCAGGGCAGGTTGTATCTGCTTGAAGTCATTTTGCTTGGGATGTGCCTGTTCATAGTATGTTCCATCTTGCCTTTGAAGTCTGCCCACTTCTGTGATACTGACATGTCCTCTGTTCTTTTGTCAAAGTTATTGGCACAGTCCGTGAGATCTTTCTTGATGGCTGGTTCATCGGCTTTTGTGCGAATGTGAACTTTTCTCTTGGGTTTTCTTTTTTGCTTTGGTGCCAAGTTAACATCCACCAGAACCATGTCATGGTCACTTATTCCCGGGACAACTGTAGTCTTTTCAATTATTATGGGTTCACCACACCACGAAGTGGTGGTGAACCCATATTGCTTTTTCTGATGTTTCTTCTCCTCCTTCTCCTCCTTCTTCTTCTCCTGCCATTTTTTAAATGGATTCAGCTTCTTCATTTTAGGGCCTAAGGTCCTAAAATTTGGTATGGAGGTACAGTGGGCAAATACCCCTAGGCGTTTTTTAAATTTTTGTGATACAGGCTTTTAGAATGGTTTTATTTGAGTTTTTTGGCTGTGTTATAGCAAATGTATTACTGTGTTAGTGTGCCGTGTTTTCCACGTCTGGGCATGAGTCATCACAATGGAATGCAGGGCATCAACCAATAGGCATGCAGCTTTCCTCTATACTTCTTGCTGATTGGCTGTTGGGATTTAACTTGATTAACACCTGCACAGAGCATTTCCACCTGCACAGAGCATTTCTTGCTGATTGGCTGTTGGGATTTAACTTGATTAACACCTGCACAGAGCATTTCCATACTGACAGTATGTCTTTATTCAAGTGTTTTGGTAGGTATTTCAAGCTTTTCTGCTCCAGCATTGGAATGCGGGGCATGAACGTTCCTAACCAATAAAGTAGGGAATAGCTATCCAACTGTTGTTTTAGATGTATGTTACTTCATATTATAGTTATATCAATGTAAATCATTGTTTTCCCTTGTGTTTCTCATTCTTTCCCTGCCATGTCGTAAAATGTGGTGAACCCATCGCTGTATTTGCTCCAAAGCAAATATTGGCCTTTCTAGTATTGGGATTATTACTTCATGACAACGTAGATTCCATAATGACGACAGCGGTTTTTTTTTTTTTTGCAAACTTTTTTATTCGCACGCTCGCGTCAGTTTTGGGGTCCCAGAGAATGTCATCCATGCAATCAAATCAACATGGCCTAACTTGACTTCATTGATTTGCTATCTCACGCACTAGTACTTGTGAATTCCCAATTGAATATTAGACATGTTCCTAAAACAGGCATTTCTGGACCATAATTTTCTTGAAGCGATACAATTGGAAACGATTTGTTAAAGAACATGATTTGATTTATTATTAAGATTATTATTATCATCATCATCATCATCAATTATTATTATTATTATTATTATTATTATTATTATTATTATTATTATTATTATTATTATTATTATTATTATTATTATTATTATTATTATTATTATTATTATTATTATTATTATTATTATTATTATTATTATTATTATTATTATTATTATTATTATTATTATTATTATTATTATTATTATTATTATTATTATTATTATTATTATTAGTTATCATTATTATTATTTGTTATCATTATTATTATTTGTTATCATTATTATTATTATTATTATTTGTTATCATTATTATTATCATTTATTATTTGTTATCATTATTATTATTTGTTATCATTATTATTATTATCATTTATTATCATTATCATTATTATTATCATTCTTTTATTTAACGATTAGTTGGAAAGATTATTCTTCGGCATACCAAACTTTGTATGTTTAGATATATGTTCAACCTTTATGACCACGTATATTTCATAATGAAGGCAACTTTTTTGACAAACTTTTTTTATTCGCTCGCATCAGTTTTTGGGTTTCCCAGAGGATGTCATTCATATAATCAAATCATTGAATCATTTGCCATTTCACGTACTTGCACACGTGCTTATGAATCGCCAATTGCATATTAGACATGTTCCTAAAACAAGCCACTTGAGTCATTTCAGTACCATATAATTTTCTTGTCATAGTGATACAATTGGAAACGTTTTTTTTTAGTTAGTTAAATAAAGATTTTTTAAAACTTCATCGAGGATATTTTTCTATTTTTTTCTTGTTTTATGACTGAATCGTTGAATTATCTTCAACTATCTAGGATATTTGGTAAACTGAGCTCATACGCATCACAAAAATTGACATTCTGTACAGATGAAATCAGCTCTTTGAATCGAATTCAATTTAGCTCTTGATAGACTCAATTTAATGCAGACATGGTAGGCGGAGGCGCATCGCGCACTTAATGATCGTTCAACAGTAAGGCCACACCGACGTAATTTTATGGATGACATCCACGCGCGCATTGATTTTCGCCTGTTCTAAAAAATCACGTCTGGCCTGGCTCTAGGTCTGGGTACTCTATGGTAGTTAGCGGCAATACGGAGCCGGTGGTAACTCTGGAGGATGGCACCGATGGCACCAAAGCTCCATGACTCAAGAACTCAAGAGCTCCATGACTCAAGAGGCTCTGGTCTGGATCTAGGTCTGGGTAGTCCATGGTAGTTAGCGACAATACGAAGCCGGTCACCAGGCTACCGAAGCTCCACGACTCAAGAAGTCAGTACATACGTACAGTGCCGATTTATAAATTCCGCAAAAAGCCAGCATGTGCTGGCTTGTCGTGCACGTCGCTATGTACTGCTGGAATTCACAATACCAGCTTTGTATTTCCTGTGGTTTAGTAGCATTTTTATTTTTGGCCGGAATTTATTTTATTCGTCCGCGCGCACCAGTTTGGGGGTCTTCAGAGGATGTCATCCATAAAATTAAGACGGTGTGGCCTTAGTGTGACACGCTGCGCCGAACGTGCTCCGCACCTCTTGGCATGGGTTAGAGAGTGTGTTAACTACCCTACCATCTTAGCAATCATTGAATACAAAATAGTGGCTCTATAAAATGATTTGTATGCGTTCTGTGCCTTAAAGCTGCTTAATATAACATTAGAAGGATGAAAAATGTCATTTTTTTGGTTCTTTACAAAGTAGCATGAATGTGAGCTTTTGATGGAAGAAGAAGAAGAATCAGCCCCACTCCATTGCAAAGAAGTGCCATTCTTCTATCACATTTATTTATTGCTCTCATCATTTTACAAATGTACAACAGCAGGGGGAGCAGAAGCGCATCCCCCTGAATTAGGTACAATTTGTCACATTATTTGAAAAACAGCGTTCACATTGAAAAATAACACATCTAAACTAACATATATACAAAAGACACATATAAAAATTATTTAAAACATATATGCACAAAGTTGCCTGGTCAGGCTATGCAAAGTCCAGTGTAGGTTCAAGGTAGGCTATTGTAGAGTCTAATGGTGTAGTGCAGGAACGACTGTTGCAGCCGTTTGGTTCTTGCATGAGGAACAGTGATGTTGTGACTGTTCCTCAGCGATCTTCCTGTGACAGACTGTCTCTGGGCAGGAACCAGGTCGTGCAGGGGGTGCTCAGGACTCAGCATAGCCTTGAAAAGAGACACAGCAGCGGCCTCTCTCCTCTCCTTCAGGGACGGCAGTGTCGGTACAGAACGTCTGCCGCCACATGAGATAATCCGGAGGGCACGTGGAGTGGAGGTGCCAAAACATTACACTTTTTTTTATTCAGAAACACAATGATGATAACAAATGAAAAGGCATGGACTAAGTGACTGCGAACTCAAGTTAGGTACAACTTAAATATGGCATGACGCCTTACGAGTGAGATTAAACGTCGGAAACACATCTGTCATCCATGTTTGTTCATCTTTTATATTCTGGTATTTTGTGGTGGCACCACAAACTGTGTGCGCCTCGTGTGGGTTGTTTTAGCGCCAACCGTAAGTGTCAGGATTGTGAGACAATTGCACAAATATGTTTAAAATTGTAAGTAAATCACACGAAGATTTTTGTTTTATTAAAATGTTAAAATCAATTTTGGTGCAAAACTGTTACATAAGGCCACACCAATTCAATTTCTTGGTTAACGGAATTTTTGTAGAAAAATAATGGAGCGGGCGGGAGAAAAAATTAAAATTAAAACAGGCCTAGGCATCCTATTATGGCCCAAAATGGTACGATAGGAGCCATGAAGTCAACACACCAGGCTGGTTCAAAATTTAAACAATGAATTTTGAACTTTTAATGATACCATTGCATTGAAAGATGGAATAACTGTAACAACTAGGATGAAAAGGACTGTTTTCAACTGTTTCAACAAATTTGCAGTTGATTCTGAATTTTTATTTTTATTTGCAAATCAGAAAAAAACAAGGAGAAGTCGTAGACATCATCCCTCCATGAAATAGCTTGTTATTTTGTAATCTTTTGGTGTATTTCAATAGAGATATTATGAGTCAAACTTTGTTTTTATCAGCAGAATGATTTGTGGTGGCACTTTGCATATATCAAGCTGTCATGTGCAGGTAATCTCCAAGCAGATCTTTCGGTGGCAAGAC